TAAGGTTTTTTTTTTTTTCCCCTTTTGGTTTCTTTCAAGATATTTTATCTTTGATTTTCTACAGTTTGAATGCAATATGCTTGGATATAGTTATATTTTGTATTTATCCTGGTTTATGTTCTCTTTGCTTCCTGGATCGTTGGTTTGGTCTCTGAATTTTTTTTTTTAATGTTAGCTCATGTCTTTATTCACCAGTATACAATTACTTGTCTTCTGGTTTGTTGAAACAGTAGGTCAGACAACATTTGCCACAATAATGGCTGTCGAAATGACTGGCCATAAAAACTCCAGTACCACAATCATCTGAGGGACACTCCCAGCGAAGGTGGCTGATTTTGCCATGCTCATCCACCTTATAGTATTTCAGAACAGCCAGTTTAACCTTCTTCGTCTTACGCTTGTTCTTCTTGTGAGTGATGTAAGACGTCTTCCTCTTCTTAGCACTACCACAAAGTTTCAATGCAAGATGCAGGGTGGGCTCCTTTTGAATATTGTAGGTCAAAGTACATCCATCTTCCAGTTGCTTGCCAGCAAAGATCAGTCTTTGCTGGTCAGGAGGAACTCCTTCCTTATCCTGGATCTTGGCCTTTGCATTTTCTGTTGTATCTGAGGTCTCTACCTCAAGAGTGATGGTCTTCACTGTCAGGGTCTTCATGAAAATCTGCATCTTGGTGGTGGTTCCACTGCAGATAGTGGATCCGAAAGGGTGTCTGACTTTAATTTGGGGGAATTTTCAATCATTATTACTGCAAATATTTCTTCTGTTATGTTTTTTCTGATCCTTTTGATATTCCTGTTTGGCCTATCCCACCGCTCTTGAATATTCTGTTCTCATTTTAAATTATTTTTTTTCTCTTTGCTTTTTAGTTTTGGAAGATTTCCTCAAATTCAGAGATTCTCTCCTTAGCTGTGTCCATTCTGCTAGTGAGCCTTTCAAAGACATTCTTCATTTCTGTTACCGTGGTTTTACTATCTTGATTTCTTTCTTTGCTTTTTTTTCCCCAGTATGTCCTTTTCTTTATTTCAGTTTTTTTTTTTCTTTTATTAAGGGGAGGGCCTTGCTGTGTGTCTTCTTGAATCTTAGTTCCCCAACTAGGGATTGAACCAGGGCCTTCAGCAGTGAAAGTGTGGGGTCATAACCATTGGACATCCAGGTAATTCCCTTGAATTTCTTTTAATTTCTATTTTTCAAAGAAAAGTTTTATATTTACAACAAAATTGAGAGGGAGTGTTTTATATCTGGATCAGCCTATGAATAGCCAATATTGTGACTGAACTGGCCCTTGTGGCTCTCATGATTGCAGGGTGCCCCCAGCATTAACCATCAGGAAGCTGGGGGGAAAAAAGAGCAAGGTGTATTACTCTTAGGTCCTGGGGGATACATGGCATGCCTGGGGCCACACACCTAGGTCACGGCAGAGAAAAAAAGAGAGAACATGGGCCTGAGGTTGTTTTTATTAGGCTCAAGGGGGGGGCGCCTGGAATTTCATGGGTTTATTCTTTACTTGTGATACTTTTTCCAGTTTATTTGCCTTTTAATTTTGTTTGTGTTTTTAACATACAGAAGTTTTAGGAAGTTTATTTAGTCATGTCTATCCATATTTATCTTTCTGGCTTACTTCACTCTGTATAATGGGCTCCAGTTTCATCCATCTCATTAGAACTGACTCAAATGAATTCTTTTTAACAGCTGAGTAATATTCCATGGTGTATATGTACCACAGCTTCCTTATCCATTTGTCTGCTGATGGGCAGTTTATAATAGCCAGGACATGGAAGCAACCTAGATGCCCATGGGTTTATTCTTTACTGGTGAACTTAAAACACGATTAGGAATTTAAAGCATGGGAAGAGAGAAAAAGTGGCCCAAAGGGTCATTTGTCTCAGTCAACAAAGATCCTTAAAATAAAGAAGCCTCGGGGGCAGGGGAAGAGCGTGGCTCTTTATATCTCATCATGTGAATGTCTTGACAGTCAAAGTTGAAGTCAGACACTTGCATTACAAAAGAAAAAAATAAAACTCTTGGGGCTTACACTGCAGAAGATTACAGGTAGTTACCATACACTCTGTCTTGATGTATGCATGGCCTCCCCTGTTATTATCATCACTCACTGGAATGGCACTTCTTTTTTAATTTTAACCAAGGCTGAACCTACACTGACACATCATAATCACCCAAGGTCCATAGTTTACTTTAGGATTCACTCTTCAGTTCAGTTCAGTCGCTCAGTCGTGTCTGACTCTGCAGCCCCATGGACTGCAGCCCTGTCCGTCACCAGGTCCTGGAGCTTACTCAAACTCATGTCCACAGAGTCAGTGATGCCATCTGACCATCTCATCCCTTGTCATCCCCTTTTCCTGCCTTCAATCTTTTCCCAGCATCAGGGTCTTTTCAAATGAGTCAGTTCTTTGAATCAGGTGGCCAAAGTATTGGAGTTTCAGCTTCAGCATCAGTCCTTCCAATGAATATTCAGGACTGATTTCCTTTAGGATGGACTGGTTGGATCTCCTTGCAGTCCAAG